GCCATGATACTGATGAACCTACTGATGGAGAAACATTATTTTAAAGAAATCTAAAAATTAGATAAGTGTTTTTACTAATTTAAATACACACACACACACACCACATACACGCGCACACACGCACACACACACACACACACACATATATATATATATAAATTAGAAAAAACTGGAACTTTTAATGTCATTTTTTTTTCAGCAGTATTATCAGGAAGTTACTTGATGATCCAGCTGAAGGAAATCCAGCTGAAACTGACAGTAAAATATTTGACATAAATGTGAATCAGAAGTTCAGAAAAAACAAATAAAAACAAATAAAAAAAAATCTTACTCATCAGCTCGTTTATAGCATGAAAAACTACCATTATGAACATTAGAGGACTAGTTAAAATACCATTTTTGAGGTGTATTGCACATAGTTAATTCAAACAGCTAAAATACACAAAAAAAAAGATAAGAAAAGCGTAAACAATACAAGAAGTTTTTTGAAATTGGTTCATGTAAAAAATAAAGGACATGATAAAATAAGATAACAAACTTTTCAAAAATGTAACTAAATTAAACTTCAATACAAATTGTTTCAAGTTTAAAGCATAAACTGTAAAAAAAAAAAAATTTCAATTCAAGTCAAAAATCTAGTAAATAAAATAGTATATTCTCATTAAATATACTAGAATGTCTAAATAAAAAAAAGAGAAAATAATAGCATAATCTTTTGAGAAAACCTATCGTAAATAACTCATTCAACTAACAAAAAAAGGAAAACTGGAACTAAAATAAAAACAACTAAAATAAATCAAAGCTATACTAAAAGTAAACTATTAAATAATACACAACAGACATTTTCATGCATTAACTTTATCTGAATATGTGTTTGTGACTGCTTCACATCTATTAAACTAACAAAAAAAGGAAAACTGGAACTAAAATAAAAACAACTAAAATAAATCGAAGCTATACTAAAAGTAAACTATTAAATAATACACAACAGACATTTTCATGCATTAACTTTATCTGAATATGTGTTTGTGACTGCTTCACATCTATTAAACTAACAAAAAAAGGAAAACTGGAACTAAAATAAAAACAACTAAAATAAATCGAAGCTATACTAAAAGTAAACTATTAAATAATACACAACAGACATTTTCATGCATTAACTTTATCTGAATATGTGTTTGTGACTGCTTCACATCTATTAAACTAACAAAAAAAGGAAAACTGGAACTAAAATAAAAACAACTAAAATAAATCGAAGCTATACTAAAAGTAAACTATTAAATAATACACAACAGACATTTTCATGCATTAACTTTATCTGAATATGTGTTTGTGACTGCTTCACATCTATTAAACTGAATAATTTTTCAAATCCAATATTAGAGGAACATTAACAAACATTAAAAATCGTAGAACTTTCACATTTATTAACTGTACTTTCTGAATATGATCTTGGAAATGATGTTAAATGCTTAGCTTTGAAGCAATTGTGTAAATGCTGGCGCATTGCAGATTGATTGTCCCATACAAATATCTACTGAAAATGCGATTGCAAACAAACCACAGTCAATTCCTCCAACTTGTTGCTGACATGATTGGTATTGACACATAACTGTATTTTTAGAACATGATCTAATTGAAGCAATTTGTTTTTGTACATGCAAAGTTGGCATTTCTGTCTTCATTGAGTCATAAATTTTAACGACTCTATCGCTGCAACCAAGTGTGCTAATCAACAACCAGTGAAGGGATCCGTCATGCAAAATTTGTAGCATCTCCTGTGACTGTATACGGAACATGAGATTTGTTCCTAATAAGGTGTCTTGCATACCTTGAATTTTTTAATATTACTTGAGCAGCATTAATTTCAATGTATCCTAACATGTTTTGATTCAATATACTCTCAAATGCTGATATTGGTACACTAAATGTAATGCTATTTTTGGATAAATAAGTATCAATAGAGTCAATGTTTTTAATATAAAATTGATTTTGTGATGACGTTATTTGACCTGGATCAGATTTTTTGACTGTATTTGTTGCAGGGTAACTACTGTATGACAAATTTAAATGAGTTGCTTCTAAAAGTTGAATATTAGTATATATGTCTTGACATGGATAATAAGGTTTAAGCTGAGAAACGTTTACTTTTGTTTTTAAAAATTCACCATTAAGGTTTTTTAGAGTGCATTGACCTTTTATGTTTAAATCAGCTAGAGTATATGGTCCCATCCTTGAAAACTCCTTAGATAAAGGCTCACCTTTGCGACCTTGTTTTCTTGCATTTAAGTTCATCACTTAATCATTTATTTTAAATGTAAATGTCTTTATACCCTTTTTTGCAACTTTTTTCATATGTTGCTTACACTGCTTTTCTTGAGCAATTTTTATATTTTCCCTAACTTTTTTCTCAACAGCCTCACAATCATTAACTAACTTTTCTACTGTTGAGTCAGATATTTTTCCAAGAAAACAACTATTTAAAGAATCATCAGTCTCATTTAGAACATTTATCATCTCATTACCTGGAGGATGTCTTAAATACATTAAATAAAACAATGTCATTTCTGTAGATTTCTGGCATGATATGTTCAGTCCATAAGCAATTGCAGATGTGTAACTAATACAAGTCATAAAAAAAAATTATTGTAATAATAAATTATAGTGTATATATAAGGAAAATGAAATAAGAATATAGACTACTAAACCTATCCCAGTCATTCATCTCATTATTAGTATACTTGCTTAAAGCACGTTTAAAAGTTTGATTTGTACGTTCATCTTGACCATTACTTTGAGGATGGTATGCTGATGTCACAGAATGTTTAATACCCATTAATTGAAAAATTTGTCACGTGATGGATCACCATTAATATATATATAAATGAAGACTTTGCTTAAGAGACGATGGAAGAGACAAAGAAACTTTGGGAAGAAGTCAAAAATCTTCGCAACCAAGGTAAATACGCAACAATTAAATTTAATAAAGTTTTTTGTCGCGAATTTAGGAAGTAAGAAAATTTTTGCGTATAATTAAGAAAATTTTTTTTACTTTATAACGTAAAAATGTACTAATGGCTAAACAAACAATAGATTACGAAACGCAACACTTTAATGTTTTCAAATCGCTAAACTTTTTTCTTGATAACTCCTACGATCCAGATTTGCATTTTTTTAATGAAAATAAATTTAGCTCGCGGTTTTTTGAATTAGGAACTTTTAAAAATGAATTAAAATCATTAAATAATAACTTTACAATGATACACATAAATATAAGGAGTATAATTAACAATATTGACAAACTAAAACATTTTCTCATTGAATGTAATTATTTGTTCAGTATGATTTGCTTAACAGAAACTTGGTGTTCTGACGAATCATCTAGAATAAATTCAAACCTAATAACTCCAAACAAATAAAAATTTACAATAAGATATATAGTATAAAGTATAAGTTTGTACTTGAAGCGCATACAACTTCTGACGGCAATGCATTCCAATGATTCACTATTCGATTAGTAAAAAACTGGTGCCTTTGCTCACAATTTTTAACATATTCTCTAGTCATTTTTAGATGATGTCCTCTAGTTTTTATTTTATTTGACTGCCCAACACGAAGGACATGGGGTTCACTCCATGAGACAATGTCTATATTGTTAATAATTTTATAGGCCTGTATCAGATCTCCCCTAATGCGACGGGTTTCTAGGGACGTTAAGTTCAGTATATTCAGACGATCTTTGTATGACATATGACGGTACGAAGGTACTAAACGGGTAGCTCTTCTTTGTACTTTCTCGATTTTGTCAATATCTATTCTTGATGATGGATTGCTGGCTGCTACCGCAAATTCCAGATGAGGTCGTACAAAAGTTGTATATAGAATTTTAAGTAGTTGCGGAGTCATGTGACTGAAAGTACGATACAACATGCCTAATACACGGTTAGCTTTATTGGTGGCAAAAGTTGAATTGTTATGCCATTTTAAGTCTGGTGTAATCATGATGCCTAAATCACGTTCGACTAAAGTTGATGCAAGTTCGACACTGTTATTGTTATTAGCTGGCATTAAGTAGACATAAAAGTTGTTTTTTTTACCTATGTGCATGATTTTACATTTATCGAGATTAAGTTTCATTTTCCAGGTATTACACCAATCGGCTATGTTGTAGATATCAATTTGAAGCATTTGTGAAGCTAATGGGTGGTCTAAACGGGCCAGCAGTTTAGTGTCATCAGCATACATTTTACATGGATGGTTAACAATATCGGATATATCGTTCACAAAAATGATAAAAAGTATTGGACCTAATACGGATCCTTGAGGGACGCCAAAAAAATACCTCAAGCCACGAGGAAACATAATCGCCCATCACAATTCGTTGAAAACGCTGGTATAAAAACAATTTTATCCAATTCAGGAGATTTCCAGTAAAACCATATGCCTCAAGTTTGTAAATTAGTCTCTTGTGGGGAACCATATCGAATGCTTTACTGAAATCTATAAAAGCTACGTCCATAGATATCTTGTCAGATAATGCTTTTGACATCATGTCAATCGACTCCAACAAATTAGTCACACAAGCTTTTTTATTGACAAAACCATGTTGATTTTTTGAAATAAGGCTATGTTCGACTAAATGATTGACCAAAGTGTCACGTAATATTTTCTCCATCACTTTACATACAACTGATGTTAAGGATATAGGCCGGTAATTGCCTGGGTCGAGTCTACTTCCATTTTTAAACAGTGGTGTTACATTAGCTTTTTTCCATACTTTAGGACAACACCCACTATCTAGCGACTTCTGAAAAATTGCGCTTAAAGGTATTGAGAAGCTGTCAGAACAGTTCTTCAGTACATATGCGCTTACACCATCCAAACCAACGGTTTTGTCAACTGATAAATTGCTCAGCTTGTTTTTAACCAGATCTAGCGTTATTTGCGAGTATTTGCAGATGGCTTCAGTTCGTTTTATAAAATATGGCAGTTCATCGTCTTCATTTTTGTTGAAAACACTTTGAAAGTGATTGTTCAGCCGAATTGCAATTTCTATTGGATTTGTGATAGTGATATGATTTGTGATGATTTGTGATAGTGTCGCCATTGATTCCTTTTAAGACTGTTATTGTAGTTCTAACATTTTGTTTACTATTAACATACTTGAACAGGATCTTTGGGTTGTGCTTCGATTTTATCGCTAAATCAAGTTCAAACTCACAACGAGCTTTATATATGAGCTTCTTCAATTGAATATTACACGCTTTGTATTCGTTGACTAGTTTAAGATTTTTATATCCATTCGCTCTACATCGAAACCATAGTTTATTTTTAGCTTTTATTTTATTTTTGATGTCATCATTCATCCATTCACTTCTACGACGAATCCATTTTAAGTTAGTCACTGGGACATAATTTTTGCATGCAGCCTCGTAGTGGTTCAGGAAAATGTTATAACAGTCATCAGTATTGTGTCCATTGAATTCCATCTGCCAGTTGATATTGTTAAAATATTCGGATATCTTTACAAAGTTACTTTTATGATAAACGCGTTTTTCAATGTGTTTTCCTACAACTGCAGCGCTTTTAACAACGTAATCCCATTGAAGGACGTGGTGAGATTTCTTCAGAGACGTTAAAGGTGCATGGTGAATAATATCGAGGACCCGATTTTCATTTTCGGCTATAATTAGATCAAGAGTATTGTTCGATGTAATTTCATCAAGTTGAAAAGTGGGCTTAGTAACAAATTGTATCAAAAACGACTCGGCGAGGATGTCAATAAAATTACTTGAAAGGATATCTGTGTTGCTGACAGTTGGGATACTGCTCAAATCCCAGTTAATCCCTGGCAAATTAAAGTCTCCACAAATCAACAAGCCGCTGTATATTTTAGACAGAAGTTCATTCGCTTTAATAATGGACGCTTCAATATTCTCGAGTGGATCTAGCGTGTGTGGCCTGTATATACAACCCAGAAGGATGTGTTCGGAACCGTACGATATTTCGCACCAAATTTGTTCAGGGGAATCTAATAAAACAATTTCGCTTACTTCATTAGGTTTTAATGAAGTGTCGACATAAATAGCCACCCTACCTCCTCTACTGGACACGCGATCTTTTCTGAATAACATATAGTTTTCAATGTTAGTTATCGATGATTCATGCCACCAAGTTTCTGTAACAAAGATTATTTTAGGGTTGTATGTCTCAATTGATGCTAGAAACTCTGGCATTTTATTGTTAAGAGATGTAGCATTGGTATAACAGCATGGTATTTTATGGAAAGCTGACTGTTGTAGTAGACTAATAGTTGAAAATGACTTTCGCTCTAAAGAAATTTCGTTTATAATTAAATTGTCATTATATGGTTTTAAATTACTTACTGTTGATTGCTATTTGTCTACTTTAACTACAGCATTATTACGAATAACGTAGTAATGACTTGTCTTTGCCCAGTTGTTTTTTAAATTAAGAGGCTCGTTTTTCTTTTTCAACTCGTCTCGTAATTGTCTATCTTGTCTTCTTTGTGCTTCTGTCAGATCTGGATTAACATAGATGCCTTCAAATTTACGCCGGGCTGCTTTAACAATATTATTTCTGGTGACAGTGTCTGTCGTCTCAACTATAATAGGTGGAGGTTTATTCGGATCTTTTGACCGTAAGCGAAAACATTTTATTATGTTGTCCGAATTAATTTTAACGTTGGTTAGAAGCTCTTTTATTTTGTTCTCATCGTCTACTTGCTTCTCGTTAGGTTCTTTTTTAGTCGATGCTGGAATGCCAAAGACGATAAGATTTTTGTCACGCTTCATTCTATCTTTGTTCTCATTAGCTACACAATTAAGCATATCTAGTTGAGCTGGCGTTTTAGTTGATTTTTTTCCGACCACAAAGTTCCATGTTTCCGTTGTAGTTGAGGAAGCAATAGGTTTTTCCTCAAGTTGTTGGATTCGCTTTGTGAGGGCGATGATCGTCGATGTTTGTTCAACAACAGTTTTTGATAACGCTTCTACTTGCTTTAGAAGCGTCTCATACTTGTTATTCAACTCAGAATTGTCGGCTTTTGGAGGCATTTAGCGTAAATATGTTTAAACAACAGTATATATAGTTTATATAATATTTAAATTATATATATATTGATATATATATGTATATATATAAATATATATAGACATATAATAATATATTTGTATTATTATTATGAATATAAATTTCATATAATTTATATAAATTTTTTATAAATAATTTTTTTTTTTTTTTTTTTTTTTTACAATAAATGCAATAGTTTCTCTATACGAACAATGACTTATTATCTAAGTGAAAATAAACAAAAAGATTAGAAAACGATAGAAGGGCAACTTTAGAGTTTAGAATACGACTTGAGTATAATAAAAATAAAAAATAAAAAGTCGCTGAAACTTTCAAAAACTCTCTAAGATAATAACACTGAATTTAAGAAAAAATAAAACCGTTAATTAAATAAATGTTTACAACAATAACATATAATAGAGGTATATAATTATGTATATACGAATAAATATTAAGAAACAAAATACTATAATTAAATTACTCAAAAGCACGTGAATATATAATAGTAAATGTAGAAAAGTAGCGAAAGTAATACTAAAAAAGTATTACTAAAAAAGTAAAGTAAATACCAAAACTAAGAAATAGAAGTATGAGATATAGTTGATGAGATATATAAATAGAGATGAGATATATTGGAGTGAAAAAGTTGATCGCAAAATACTTATAATGCAGGAAAAAAAAGAAGACTTACGCCAAAATAAAATACGTCTTATCTCTTCAAGTGAAACACGCGAAAAAAAAGAGCACAAAAAAGAGCACAAAAAATTATTCTGTATTGGTGACATAAATATAAACTGTCTACAGTACGATGAAGATGCTGTTACCAAAATTTTTTTTGACGATATGTTTCAACACTAATCTTTCCTATAATAAACAAACCAACCCGGGTAACATTAAATTCAATCACTGCAATAGACAACATTTTGACTAATTCATTTTATGGTTCTTCATTAAAAGCAGGTGTAATCAAAACGGATATCTTTTTTCAAGATACAAAAAATAATAACTCTAAAATCAAAGTCTATAAACGAAAAATTAATAATTTTACTATTCAACACACTTAAAGACTCACTATCGGCAGTGAGGTGGGACAGGATTTACCAAGAATGCAACCTTGGGCATACCAAATCTGCTTGTAATGAATTTATAGAAATATTCTTAAAGCACTATGATAATCATTTCCCTATAATAGAACAAGAATTAAAAGTAAAGTATTTACAATGTCCATGGATTAATAGAGGTATAAAAAAATCTTCAAAAAAAAAAAAAAAAAAAAAAAACTTTACATCAAGTATTTAAAAAATAGAAACGAAAAAAATCTAAATACTTATAAACAATACAAAAATTTATTTAAAAAAATAAAAAAAAGTTCGAAGAAAAATTACTACTCTAACCAAATAAAAAATGCAACTTGTGACATTAAAAAAACATGGAATACGATAAAAGAAATAATTGGGAACAAAAAAGTTAAATCAAATAGTTTACCTGCTCAAATCATCATAGACAATATAGAGTACAGTGACAAAAATACGATTGCTGAAAAATTCAACGAATTTTTTGTTAATATTGGCCCTAATCTTGCCTCAGAAACTCTAATAAAGTCTCCTAATAACTCATTTAAATCATACCTAAGTGATATCCAGAGCGAACTAAAATACAAAGAACTAAACTACCAAGAACTTAATGTTGCTCTAAATTCCTTAAAATTAAATAAAACTCCAGGTATAGATGATATCTGTAGTAGGGTAGTAGCAATTGTCTTTACAACAATAAATAAACCTATATTTGAAAATTTTAAGTCTTCGATTAAAACAGGAGTTGTACCGGACAAGTTAAAAGTAGCTAAAGTAGTACCAATATTTAAAACAGGTGAATCATACTTAATTAATAACTATAGACCTATCTCGGTACTCCCTACCTTTTCTAAGCTTCTCGAAAGAATAATCGATAACAGATTGTATGAGTATTTAATCCAAAATAGAATCCTAAATAAAAAGCAATTTGGTTTCCAAAAACAAAATTCAACTGAACACGCAATTCTAGATCTAGTTAACAACTTAAATGATTCTTTTTATAAAAAACAGTATGTTCTAGGCATCTTTATAGACCTGTCAAAAGCGTTTGATACTGTAAATCATAATATCTTCCTTAAAAAAATGGAAAGCTATGGGATAAAAAACATAACCCTTGACTGGTTTAAAAACTCTAAGTAAGAGACAACAATGTGTCTTTTCAGATTATTATAAACACTCAAAACTACTAACAGTTAAGTGCGGTGTCCCCCAAGGTTCTATTCTTGGACCTCTTCTGTTTCTTCTATATATTAATGACCTTACAAAAGCCTCGGAAAAACTTGATGTAATCATGTTTGCCAATGACACAAACTTATTTTATTCATCAAACTCAATCAAAGACCTTTATGAATGTATGAACAAAGAGCTTAAAAGATTAAATTTATAGTTGAAATTAAATAAGTTATTACTAAATACACAAAAAACAAAATACATATTATTTCATTCCAAAAAACAAAACAAAAATATACCAACTACCCTTCCCTCACTAAAAATAGATAAGGTAAATGTTGAGAGTTGGTAACGAAATACATAACATTATGATTGATAAGAGTGCGTTCATGTAGAACGCATTAGAACTCGTGCGTAAGTTAGAAAGATATTGTAGTGAGTTATGTTTGTTTATATAATACTAGTTGTAAATATGTATGTTATTATAATAAATCTTAAATACAAATAAAATAAGAGTTAGTATATATATATTTAAAATAGTAAACACAACAGTTGGCGACGAAGATCAAATTATGGCAAAAATAATTAATAATTTACCTGGAGTAGAACAGTTTATTATAAATCAAAACGACACAACTAATTTAGACAAACGTGAGAAACATGGAAAGAAGATTTTGAGTTATATCTAGTTGCAACTGGAGTCACGCAAGACGCGCAAAAAAAGGCATTACTTCTGCATCTAGAAGGGAACGATGTAAAAGAAATCTATAATACCCTGAAAGGAACTGACACCGATCAATACAAGGCAATGTGTGATAAACTGGATCAATATTTCAGTCCGAGAAAGAATATAGCATACGAACGTTACGTCTTTCCGAGGATCAAACAAAATGAAGGGGAAAGTACAGCGAGTTTTATTACGCGATTAAAAAAAACAAGCGGAGTATTGTGCCTTTCCAAATGTTACAGAGACAGTGAAAGATCAGTTCATATCATCGTGTTATTCTTTAAAATTAAAACAAAAACTCCTTAAAGATAGAGAAATAAATCTCGAGAAATGTATTGAGATTGGTTGAAACATGGAAGTATCAGAACAACAGGCAAAAGAAATGTCTTATAAAAAAGCAAATGTATGCCCAGAGGAAATCGAGTTAGTAGATCATTTAGAAAAACAAACCTTTTTCAGAAGAAGAAAACAAACGACAAACATTAAATCGAGACTTAGTCGAAATGGTAATATAGACAAAAAAGAAAATAACTTGTTATGTTTTCGATGTGGGAAGAAGTACTTTGTTGGACACCAAAATGATTGCAAAACCATGGGGAAAATGTGTTTCAGATGTCAAAAGAAAAATCATTTAGCTACTTGTTGCCGAAATACTCTACAATCGTAATATAGGAGAAACCGACAAGTTAATGAAATAAATAATAAAGCTAAAAGTGAACACAGCTCAGAAAATGAATCAGTAGAAACGCTTGCCCTGACATGTAGTTCAATACGGAAAAGACAATCTAATAAAACAAAAACAATAATGTAATAGTGGAAAATGTCACGATTAAAATGATTATTGACTCAGGTTCCAGTGTGAACTTAATTGATAAAAATACCTTTGAAAGAATTAGAAGCAACAATCCTAATTTAATAATCAAGAAATCATCAACAACCATCTTTCCATATGCTTTGAAGCCTTTAAAATTAATAGATTGTTTCAAAGCTGAAACTGAAGCTAAAAACAAAATAACTACAAACAATATATATATCGTAGATAAAAATAATGTTGGAAATATAATGGGAATTGAAATTGCTAAGGAGTTAAACATTTTAAAAATTGCAGAAAGTGTTAAGTTTGTGAATAATTAAGAAAATTATATGAATTCAGTGGATAATAAGTCAGTTGAAGCTGTACAGCATTCTAACGTGTGTAAAAACATTGATGATAAAATCAAACTTCCAACGAATCAAAATGATAATAATTTTGAGCATATTGATTCAAATTGTAAAGTCACTTTAAAATTTGAAAATAATTTGACAAAGTTAATTACAAAATACGAAGACATAATCGAAGGACATGGTAAGTTAAAAAATTTTCAATGCAAACTTTATGTAGACAAAAAATACAACCAGTTGCGCAAAATTTGCGTCGTTATCCTTATCACCTTCGAAAAGACATTCGAGCAGAGTTCAAGAAGCAGACATTATTGAAAAAGTTGAAGGACCACAAGAATGGATAAGTAATTTTGTAATTGTACCAAAAGCAAATAAGACAGTAAGGTTATGTCTTGATGCTAGAACCAAAACAAACAAAACGAAAAAAACTAGAACCATAAACGTGAAAGATACCCAATACCTACATTAGATTCGGTAAAAGATGAAATGCATGGTTCAAAAATATTTGCCAAACTAGAAATGAAGGAAGCCTATACTCAGCTAGAGTTGGAAATCGAATCAAGAAAAATTACAAATTTTCAAACGGATGAGGGAGTCTACCGACACAAAAGATTAGTGTATGGGATCAACAATTCGTTCAAAATTTTTCAAAAAACTATGGAGCAAAGCTATGGTAGAATAGAGGGAGTAAAATTTATCAGTGACGATATTATAATATACGCATCAGACGAACAAGACTTATTAAGAAAATTAGAACTTTTGTTCATCAAAACAAGGACATTAGGTCTGAAGTTAAATAAAAAAAGTGTATTTTTGCTGAAGAGAAAATAAAATTTTTTGGTATTGAAATATCTAAAAATGGTATTAATCCTAATCCAATCAAAGCAGAAGCTATCAAGAATGCAAGATCACCAACAACGGTCAGTGAGCTTCAAAGTTTCCTTGGTTTATGCACATTTGTATCAAGGTTTATTAAAGACTTTAGTGAAAAAACAACAGTACTACGGGAACTATTAAAGAAAAATTCAAAATTTAAGTGCGAAAAAAAAACATTATGATGCTTTCAACATGCTTAAACGTGAGTTATCAAGTGAATCTGTTCTGGCTTTCTATGATCCGCGCAAAGAAGTACAGTTAATCACTGATGCTAGTAATCATGCTATAGGTGGAATACTCTTGCAAAAAGAAGGAACATGGAGTAAACCAATCTGCTACATAAGTAGATCATTAACCGCAGCCGAGTTAAAATATAGTATTACAGAAAAGGAAGCTCTTGCCTTGGTATGGGCTATTGAAAAGTTACATTTGTATTTATATGGAAAAAATTTTAAGGTCATAGTGGACCACAAACCCCTCAAGTTCATTTTTTCTTCTGGTTCTAAATTAAATGCACGTATTGCAAGATGGCAAATCAAATTACAGGCATACGATTTTGATGTAATATATCAAAAAGGAGAAGAGAAAATTGCAGATTTTATCTCTAGAAACTGTACTCCAAATGAAATACATAGTGAGTCAGATGAAAATGAAATTACAGCATATGTAAATTTCTTAGTGACAAAAATGACACCCAAATCAATATCACTCGAAGATATAAAAACAGAAACAGCAAAGACATCAATTTAATTACAGTAAAAACAGCGTTGTTGTCGGGTAAATGGCATGACAATCCAATACTTGAACCGTATCGTAAATTTCAAAATGAGTTAACTGATCACGACGGAATCATATTACGAGGAGAAAAAATTGTTTTACCAAAGACGCTTTAAAAAAGAGCTTTACAAATTGTACATGAAGGACATTTAAGTGTTGAAAAATACAAAGGCTTATTGCGACAAAAAGTTTACTGGGTCACTATGAATACCGATATAGAAGTATATGTTAAAAAGTGTTTGGGATGTCAAGCAAATTCACGTGTTCCAAATCCTGAACCAATAAAAATGTCGAATTTACCTGAACATGTTTGGGATGAATTAGCAATGGATTTTTTCGGACCATTACCGTCAGGAGAGTATTTATTTGTTATAGAAGATTTATAATCAAGATATAAATCTTCTATTCCATTTGTTGATATAATAAAAACCACAACAGCTTCAAGCGTCATAAGCAAACTAGAAAGATTATTTGCTATATTTGGTTATCCTAACAAAATTAAAAGTGACAACGGACCACCGTTTCAAAGCGAAGAATTAAAACTATACTTTCCTAATGTTGACATAAAGCACATTAAAATAACGCCTCAATATCCGCAAGCGAACGGTATCTTAGAAAAATTTATGCAAGTTATAGGAAAAACAATTAAAACAACTCATTTTATGGGGAAAAGTTGGAGAGAGAAACTTCAAAGCATGCTTCGAAATTAGAGATGCGCACCTCATGCTACAACTGGCAAACCACCAGCTACGTTATTATTCAATAGGAATATAAAAAATAAGTTTCCTTCAATAATAATTGAAAAGAAGTGAGAGAACGTCAAGATAAAAAGTATAAGAAAGTACAAGAATATTTTGATATGAAACATCATGCAAAGAAGAGAGATGACATTAAAGTAGGAGATCAGGTTCTTGTTAAACGCCATAAACCGGGAGGAAAATTAGACTCAAAATATTTAAACAAGAAATATATAGTTAAAGAAAGAAAGCAAAATTTAATCATTGTAGTCGATCAAGAAGGAAACGAGTTGGCGCGTAATATACAATTTATAAAAAAACTCTTAAAACCTGAAGCCGAGAGTATACAACGTGAAACACCAGTAAATTATATCGAAAGAAAAATAGTTAAAAGAAAATCATATCCAAAGCGAATTAATAGACCTATAAAGTTTTACTATTAAAAGTTTCTAAACAGGATTTATTTATTTGTGTAATAATAGAAACTTTCCCAAACAGGGGGAACTGTTGAGAATTGGTAACGAAATACATAACATTATGATTGGTAAGAGTGCGTTCATGTGGAACGCATTAGAACTCGTGCGTTATTTAGAAAGATATTGTAGTGAGATATGTTTGTTTATATAATACTAGTTGTAAATATGTATGTTATTATAATAAATCTTAAATACAGATAAAATAAGAGTTAGTAGATGTATATTTAAAATAGTGAACACAACAGTAAACATTGAAGGAACAGAAACAACTAAATTTCTTGGGATACTAATTGACGAAAATATATCTTGGAGAGCCCATGTAAGTTCAATAAACACCGAAATTTCAAAAAATATTGGGATACTCTATAAAGTTAAACCTATGTTATGCCAACATAATCTTAAATCGCTTTATTTTTCTTACATCCAAATTTATCTTACATACGCTAATATTACATGGGCAAGTACACACAAATCCAAATTAAGTACTATTTACATAAGTCAAAAACATGCATCAAGATTAGTTTATAATAAAGATAAACTCACCCACGCTGAACCCTTATTAAAAACCTTGAATACACTAAATATTTATCAAATCAACATCTACCAAAATGTTCTATTTATGCTTAAATACAAGCTTGGACTAGTCCCATCGCATTTTTTAGATAACTTCTTTCAAGTAAACTCTAATAGGTATATGACAAGAGCAGCAGGCAACTTCACACTGCCCAAAAGAGCAACAAAGTTCTCACGGTTTTCTATTTCCTACCGGGGTCCGAACCTATATAACAAAATCATATCCAAAAGTATAGAACTTAAAGTATTAAATAATGCTGTTAACTTGAAAAATAAATTAAAACACCTAATACTTAATACAAACAATTATATCGACATGTATTAAACTTAACACTAAAACTTATACTAAAATATTTATGTGTATTACTGACTGTATATTGTTTAACCACTTTTGACTATATATAAAAATAAAATAGACTTTATTTAACCATTTAAAGAGGTACTCAATGATAAGTCTTCATAGACTTCTACGAGTTTTCCTTTACAACAACATGTATATATCTGAAGTACCAAAAAATTTCTTGTCTTATTTTTATTCTTTTATTTTTTTTACGATATGTAAATTTATTTGTTGTAAAAAAAAAAAAAAAAAAAAAAAATCTTTATCAAGAAATATATTATGCATGACGGGAAAAGTCATGAATTGTAGGCTTATATAAATTCTGCAGCTTTTCTCGTTTAATTTTCATAATAAACTTCATAACATATTGACCGTATGTTTGATGATTGTTGCTCGTAGCTATTCATTAATTTATCGTTGCTGTCTTTTATAGTACCTTTAGCTTTTTGACATTTTAATTGCTTGCCAATATCGATCAGAGATAAATTCAATACCTAATAAGTCTGTCCCATCGTCTATCTCATCATTAATAGCTTCTTTTTCATCAGAATTGTTATCCATAGCAACTGCATTACCATTATTTTCTTCGAGAGACAAAAAATCTTCAACATCTTCATTGATTGCTTCAATATACGTTGAAGAATCTTCACAGCCATAAGAAGTAAGGATTAAAAAGTTGGAATAAGAGAACTGTGAATAGACGGCTAAATTTAAAATGAAGTGTTTTTATTAAAGTTTTTTTAATGAGATAAATCGTCAAAACTTATTATTATCTGTTTAAAACAAGATTTATTATTTACTTCGATTCGAATTCGAATTATTTATCTATTTGCATTCTGATAAAACCATTATCTCAAAATATTAATGATAAAACTAGTTTTTAACTTAACACAGGAAAATAATAGTTACGTTTTCTGATCTAATTACACTTTCAACAAAAAACTCAGTAAAAAATTGAAACACAAATATTTTGGGACTAAACGCGCAATTAACTGGGATGCGCAATTAAGCGAAAGACTACTGTACATAACTTATTTTTGTATGTAATATACATAACTTATTTTTGTATGTAATGTACATAATGTATGTAAGGTACAGTATTTTTTGTATATAATGTACAGAATGTACATATTTTTAACATTAAACTCATCGCTTCCTACATAATAAAAAGTCAAAATCACTGATCTCAAAATAAAACTGGATAGCGTATACGGCAAATTTTTTGAAGCCAGTTTTAGCCTCCCAAGATGGCGGCGTATTTGGTTGATTACAATTTTTTTTTTTATATATATATAAATAGATGTATAAGTCTCAAAAAAATACAATTTTCGGTTTTAGATAGCAATTTTTTTAGAAAGAAACACAATATTATATATTTACGTAAATTTCTAAAAAATATATAATATCTTGTTTAACAATACTTTTAATAATCTATTCAAACAATATTACTAATAAATATTATACTGTTATAATATCACAATATATATTACTAATACATACATCAAAATATATATTACTAATAAATATTATACTGTTATAATATCACAATATATATTACTAATACATATATCAAAATATATATTACTAATAAATATTATACTCAAACAATAAATATTATACTCTTAATAATCTACTCAAACAATAAGTTTGTGTAATAACTTCCTTTTTTTTGTTTTTGTAAATTTAATTAAATAAGATAAAAAATTTTAGTTAAATTAATTAAAAATTATTTTATTTAACATTAGTAAAGAATTATACCTCTAACCTAGTAGTTTACTATTGGTTCCACTAATATTTCATAACTAGTTATAACCTATCAGTAGAAATAAAAAACAAATATGAACCTAGTAGTTATCCAATTTAACAAGCAATTTTCTAATAATTATTTTAAATATGAAAAACTGAAATAATTTTAATCATTTTTTATTTATATTTCATTTACTTTCTTTTAATTTTAATTTTACAATAAATTAATTGTTTGTTATTGTTTTTTCTACAAATTTATGTACCTTTTAGTTCTTAACTACCCAATGCTGTGTGCTAGAAGGTTAATAACACAACTGCATCGTAGGCAGCTGAATATATTTTTAAAATAAACTATTATAAATTAGTTTTTCAAATAGATATCACAAATTTACAAATGCTGAGCTCTGTGAGTACGCACAACTCAGGGGTTCCTTCTAGAATTTTTTTTATATATAATTATATGTACTTTATTTTTTATTTGGTTATACTTTACTAAAATCTATATATATATATATATATATATATATATATACATATATATATATATATATATATATATATATATATATATATATATATATATATATATATATATATATATATATATATATATATATATATATATATATATATATATATATATATATAGATATATATATATATAATCCAGATTTTTTTTTTGATGCCATTTTAACTACATATCTGGCAATATATGAAATCAAAGCTTTTTTGTATATAGATAGAATGCTGCAATTTGGAATATCTGCATAATCGTGGTCACTATAAGTTGGTTTTCTCTTTAACAAATCGTTTTTTTTTTTGTTAACTCAATTTTAGTCAGATACTTTAGTACTGGAATGAGCAAAAGAATTGTCTAAAATTTTTGAAACATGAGTTTTATCTCTGATGCTGCAGTTTCCATTGGAAAATTGAACTCTAATTCACACCAAAAGTTTTTTATATGAGGATGTAAAACTTTTGGCAATTAATATTGTTGTTAAACATTCATGCAGATCTCACAGCTAAATAAGATTTCACAACACAATAAAGAACTTGTTAGATGGTTTTGACTGAGCTTAATGTTAAATAATTTTATGGCAAACCTGCTTTTTCGACTCAGTCAAGATATTTATATTTGTTATATATATATTTTAATTGCTACGAAATATATAATGAAACCAGTTTTTAAACTAGAAAAATTCATTTGCATAACAGTTAATCTCTTTAAGACTAAAGATATACTAATTATATATAATTAAGACTATAGATATATTAATTATATAACATGTCAAGAAATGGAAAACAAAGAACCTTGCTGCATGCACACAATTCTGACTTGTATCCTTTGGCAAATAGGCCTTGTGAATTTAATGTGATGTAATTAATCTTTTACGCGAATAAACTCAACAATATGTTTATATAATTATTCAACTGCAATATACAGTTTAATAATATAAAAAAGTTAGCCATTATATAAACTATAACATATAACCATAATACTTAAGTATTATGGTTATATGTTTACCTGCTGTTAACAGCAGGTAAACAGTATATATAACTTTAGTTAATGAGATATTTCAAAGAGATGTTTTGAATAATGCTGTATTAAAAATTTAATAATTTAAAATTTAATTTAATTTAAAAATTTAAAATTTAATTTTTTTTTCAAACAAATGTTTGTTTGAGGATGTATGTAAAATTTGTTACATACATCCTCAATTCTATTAAGTGATTATCCTTTAAATTATAAGAAATGATTATTTACTTTTTATTTGTTTTAAAAGTTGATATTAATAACTATAGTTCAGACCTGTTTTTTTTTACTAGCATAAGTGATACTTTAGAATGTTTTACTCAAATAATTTATGCAATAATATAATTATAATATAATTCTAGAAGGAACCCTTGAGTTTGTATACCTCTGTATACTGACAGCACTCAGTTAATAGTTCATGCAGCATTTGTACAAAATGGTATCTTGCTACAAAAAATAGAGAATATAAAATTGTAGGTAGAGATGATTGTTGCTTAATATGCTGTCATGTTAATTATCTTCTAGCATACAGGTTTGGGTAACTAAGAACTAAAAGATACATAAATTATACACAAAACTTAACTAAAATTGTAAATGCCATTTAATAATAAATTGAATTATTCAAGAAATTCTTTCTTTTTTTTTTCTCTAATATTTATAAAAATTATTTGTTTTCTTTTATTTTTAACAAATTTATTAGCCTTATTTAATTAATTTTTATCGTAGTTTTATAAAGCCATGTAAAAACTATATTGGTTTCACCGCTAGGAACTTAAATCGCCGCCATCTTGGGAGGCCAATTTTGGCTTCAACTTTTTTCGGAAAAAACAACAGAATCTGCTATTCAGTTATATTTTGAGATCAGTGGTCAAATTTTTTTAAAAAATTGATTTTTTGGCAAATTAGATATTCTAATGTAAAATTTAACGCTCTTTCTCGTGGTATAATTTTTTTTTAAGTTTGTTTATGCTTTTTACAATATTTACAATTTTATTCAGGTAGGTATAATTTTAGTGCCTAGCAACGGTCATAGCAACCGTTTTATTTTTTAGTTATTATCTTAAATGTACTTTAAAACTTAAAGAACTACATCTCTTTTGCTACTCTAATGTTGCCAAGTTGTTAGTATTTAATAATTATAAGTTATGCTGTTGCAAAGTGCAAACAGCTGGCAGGCTTTTTTATAGTAATTTTTTTACTTTTTACTGTTTTCTAACGTATTTGTTGAAATTATTTAATATTTTAGTTAGAGTCTAGTAAAATAATAAAGATTTAATATAACAAACCTTCGAAATAACAAAAGAAAGTTATCAAGAAAGGGTGTTGGTGGTCGTGGTAGAAAATCTGTACATATTATACATATTTTAGTTTTAAAAACAAATTTTTTTCTTGTTTTTTGATTTTCTGCCATATTGTTTTTCAAGAAAATTGTCTCACGAAAAGCATCATAACTTTTGAATTAATAATGATAACTACTTAAAATTTTCAGGGCTTCATGTAGTGTACTGCAAGTGCCTGAGTATTTTTCAAATAAATTTATTAGTTGTAAGTTGTGGTTACGGAACTAAAATCAGAGGTCTAGTAGCAGATTTTTCAAAAATGCAGTTGTTTTGAAGCATAACTTTTAGTAGAAACAAAATTTTTTAATAAAAAAAACTCACGCACTAGATACAGGTAGCACACACAAGTATACCAAGTTTGAAAGTAAAAGGAACTTTTATTCACGAGTAATTGTGTTTCTAGTAAACTTTATTTTTAGGGGTTTTGACTATTATAGGCCTCTATGTGATCATCAATATATTTAAAGTTCGAAAATTAATGCTTTGATGAATAAAAAACAACTTTTTTTGATTACATACCACTTTAATAATAAAATTATCATTTATTTTTATTTTGTCTTAAGTTAATAATATGAACATAAAAATGCAAACCAGGCAGCTTGTTGGCAGGAAAAAATATTTAAAGAGTATATGATTATCTAAGATATTTAGAAATAACTTAATTGTCAATATAAAACAAAAATTTTTAAATTTTTAACAGTTTTAATCAAATTTTTTATTTTTTTAAAACACATTTTGAAAGTTTTATAAAATATTTTACAGAAAGGCAGAACAACACAGAAATATTTTTCGAAATATTATCATAAATTAACAAAATATTGCAATGCGCCAGTTAAATTATATAATTTCTTAAACATTTATATAATCAGTTAAATTATATCGATCATAAAATGTTTATAATTTTTTTCAATTTTATGAAAGCTAACCAAAATCTTCGAACGACTATTTTTACCATAGTTTATTTAATTTAATATTTACTGAAAATAAAAAAAGTAGAAAGATTATCAATATTTTTCAAAACAAACATGAGTCCCATCAGAGTAATTGTTGTATACAAGGTTTGCAGTATGTGGGTATGAGAATTAGGAAAGTTGAGAAAATTAGAAAAACGAGAAAAATAAAATGAGAAAAATAAATTAAAAAAAAAAACTTTTTTTACTATATTTTGTAAATATAATCATTATTTTTTTATTAATGCTTGAACTTTATATATTTTAAATAATTAAATACTCTATATAACAGTTATGTTTATAAATATATTATAAGTGTTATAATATATTTATAAACATTATATATATGTATATATATATATATATATATATATATATATATATATATATATATATATATATATATATATATATATATATATATATATATATATATATATATATATATATATATATATATATATATTACATTTTTTAAAGAACGATAGAAACTTTCTTATTTTGATTTCAGGGTTTCTGGAGTGCGCATTTTGTAAATCAGAAATGCCGAAGGTAAATATAATATTCAATAAACTCAGTGAATTCGCCCGCTACTTGCACATCATAAAAAAGTAGCTAAACAAAATGGCGGTAACATCTGAATTTGGAGAAATGTATATGCACTTGTAAACTTTATTATATTAAAATGATTTTAGTTAATTTTGTTATTATTTGTTTGTATTGTGTTTGCGCCCAACCACTTAATGGGAAAACTGCCAAAAAAGGATACGATGAAGTCGAATACGATGTCACTCTCCTTAAAAGCCCAATTACAAGAAAATACTATGTAAAACCAGAAGAACTTCCAAAATATGAAGAGCAGTTTAAAAAAATAAGGAATCTAGGAGAGGAAATTGAATGCAAACTAACAGGTATATGTCCAGGTAAAAAAAGAGAAAAAATAATTCCTAAAGTTGCTTCAAAAACTGAACATGTCAAAGGGAAAAAAAAAACATTTAATCCTATGTTTGATGACGAGCAAACCGATGATTTACAACAAGAGAGTCAAAACCAGTTTATGAATGATGAAAACATGAACTCTCCAGAATATGACCCATCCCATAGAGGTAACATGTTCAAAAATCATTCGCCAAATTCACGAAAAACTAAATCAGTTCAGTATGGATTGCAGCCCAGTTTAGATATGGAAAGATTCAGGGATCAAGGGAGTTATACTCAGCAGGCGGATGCTGCTCAATTTGGTCAGCAACCTCAAATGGATTTGATTATGCCTGAAAATATGCAAGAACAAAACTTTGCAGGTTAAAATTTTTGCATACTGCTATACAGTATTATGACCGGTATTGTATATTTGGTAATGCATACAGTATTATATTTGATTTTTTCAAATACTTATAATACACAGTGGGTTTGAAAACTTTTTTTAATACTCGGTAGGTTTGGGTAATATTTTCTATGGTACTTAGCATATTAGAACAAAATTTTCTACAATACTTGGTAGGTCTAGATAAAATTTAAAAAAAATAAAAATTGTTAAATTGAAATGAGCAATCAAAAAATAAATGTTTTTAGGGCAAGAAAACGTACAAGAACCAAATGGCATAAATGGTTTTAATGGCAGGAACGCAGGAAGTATGCAGGGGGACGGTTTACTAGGAAATGGTTTTAATGGCAAGAATTCTGGCAACATGCTAGAGGAAGGTTTACCTGGAAACGATGAACAAGGTGGAAGAGATAGCAACGAGGAAATAACCAAATTTCAAAACCAACGCATGGAAGATGCAATTCACCAATCTGTAGCTGATCGGATGAACTACTTGTTACCATCGTCTAAAGGACAGCAGATAACAGCCATGAGTAGAGGTTTGGAAGATGATCCTTATGGAGATCTAGGAGATGGTATGGGAAAAGGTATGTTTTAAAAATAAACAACTGCGTTATTTTTGTATTTATCAAAACTTGTAAAAATTATTATAACCTTAAATTACATAGACATGTATAAATTGTTATATTTATATAAAATTAAACAAACTATTCAAATATTTATTCAATTCCATAAATAAATGTATTTATTCAACTAAGATAAGCCGTACAAAATCCTCTCTAAGGTAAGACATTGATGTATAATAAACCTTGTGGGTATTTAAAGTTTATTGATGGGTTGTTCATTATCAATTAACTATTAACAATAACTATCAATTAATTATTAACAATAGTTATCGATTAACTAATAAAATAATCTTCACTAACGATTCTCGATTAATTACTGTAGTTTTCGATTAATTACTGTAATTCCATTTCAACCATCTTTATATGATGACTATTGATTAAAATCATTATTAACAAAATAACTTTCTCATATGAGAAAGTTATTTTGTTAATAATGATTTTAATCAATAGTCATCATATAAAGACTATGTTAACATATATATGTTAACATAGATATATTTATCGATTAACTTTTTATTTATTTTCAAAACAAGTTTTATTTTGTCACACCTAATAAAAATCATTGTTAAAAATGCACAGCTACACAAAATTTACCACTAAAGCATTTCAAAAACGCAATCATTATAATCAAAAGTATGCTCAGATAAGGTACGCCTCGTGAAATGCGGGACAACAACGCATACACCCCGTTAAAAAGCAGTACACCAACGTATGCAACAAAAATCGGCACTACAACACAAATATAAAATTTTCGCACAAAGAAAATGATAGTACTTGTATAATTGACGCACCATTCAAAGAAAAAATACTTCGAACATCTATCTACAAAATTAACATCATACGCAGCACCAAGTTTACAACATCAGATTGCAATAATTAAATAAATACAAAAATGTATAAAATAATCACGTTTCTATTATAGTTTTTCATAGTTATCCTAATCAGATTGATTTATCACAAGACAGCTCTGTTACTGAAGATGATATAATCAAAATAGAAGCTGTACAGCCAGGTGAAATAGATAACCTGCATCGCTTTTTAAAAAAATCTCAAAATAGATTTATGGGTGGCGATAAGAACCAGGATAATGTATTGAATGGCAAAAACACAGATCAACTAGGGTTGGACAGATTCGGAGACTCTTCTTATGGTATGTTAAAACACTGATAAACTTGCTTTCAATTAATATCTGGTATGCAGCGCGCATTATTTTGTTTAGCACATATATTCGCTTGTTTTATTTTGTATAGCTTTACTAAAAAATATTTTTTATTGAAAAGGCAACAATTGATAAATAATATCTACTATATATGTATATATATATATATATATATATATATATATATATATATATATATATATATATATATATATAAATATATATATATATATATATATATATATATATATATATATATATATACATATATATATATACATATATATATATATATATATATATATATATATATATATATATATATATATATATATATATATATATATATATATATATATATATATATATATATATATATACATACATATATTAATGGTTGATAGGAATAGTGTCGAAAAATGATACTCGGTGAATGAATATGTCAAATATATTACAAAGGTAAAAAAAAATAATAATAATGTTTCCAATTTATTATTGTTGCCTTATCAAAAATAGTAATACTGTTAAAAAACGAAATACGGAATAATGTCACAATTATATTTCTTTTTAAAGATTTAACATATTATAGCTCATACATGTAAGTATAAAAATGTAAGTATAAAAAAAATTCACTTCTTTGTGAAAACAATAAACAAAATGGCTGATAAATAAATCATAACCGAATTTCGGGTGTGTCGTTTTAATGTCTACCGAAAATTGTATTGAAAGTTTTCGTCTAAATACACCAAAAACCTTTAAACTCGGATTGTGTATTTGTTCCCAAAAGTCCTAAAAAAACACTTTTTTTCTGGCTTAAATGTAGCAAATATCACAAACCAACTTCCTTTAGGGTCACGGTTAACCTTTTGTTTTTACCTGCTTCAATATAAATTAAAATTTGACGGCAAAAAAACTGAATTTTGTTAGCGCCGAATTTTTACCACTGAAATAATGTAAACAAATAAATGGGCATTACTGTTAAAAACTTAATTGCCTTTGTCAAAAAATGCCTAATTCAGCAAAAACTCAAGGTGATTGAATAAAATCTGTTTTCTTTTGTATTTGAGGAGATTGTTTATTAACTGTTGATTGTTTATTGTGATTGTTTATTAACTGATTTTTTGGTGGAAAGTGTCAAGAATATTTTTTAAGTGTAATTTTATTTCAATCAAAAATTCCAACTGGCATTAGCAATTCATGTAGAAGTAAACTACAACGTCTAAATACTGGTAGTATTATCAAAAAGTATACCTTTTTTATATATATATATATATATATATTTTTTTTTCTATTTAGAAGTATGTATGCGCTTAAGTTTGTATGCGTTAAATTACGTTCTAAACTTAGTATAATTTAAAATAAGTTCGATTAGACTAGTTAATAAAAGGTTATCTTCAGCTATGTATATATATATATATATATATATATATATATATATATATATATATATATATATATATATATATATATATATATATATATATATATATATATATATATATACATATATATATATATATATATATATATATATATATATATATATATATATATATATATATATATATATATATATATATTTTCCAGTTAATTCACGACCACCATCTCCAGATTTTGTTGAAGAAAATGCAAAACTGGCAATGCAGACCAATTCAGACTATGAAGTACCCAGTTCAGGTACAAAACGGAAGTTTTTTTAGAAAAGAAAAAGTTGACACTACTTTTAACAGTCTCTTGTATTTCCAATACTTCGGAGATTTTATTAAGATTACAGAAAGTAGGAATAAAAACTGAAAACTGCTATATTTACTGTTTTTAACTTTGCAACAGGAAGCAATGTTGATCTTTTTGTAATCAAGTTACTGACCAAAAATATAAAGAGACTCTAAAACGTGATATATTTAAATTATATTTTTCAGCATTTTCAACATTATGGAAAAGTTTTCTCTTGACAACTCAAAGTCAACTAGGGGAGAATGATCCTTCTGCAAACAGTCGAGAGGGAATCAATAAACCTCACTCAAAGCAAAAATCTAGATCTCCTCAAGAAAAGGCTAAGAAAGATCCAGAAGTTCGACACTCAAAAAAATCCAACGTAGGTATGCTTTAGTTTATGCACAAACACAAACTCCTCATAACTGACACTGAAGATTCTTTAGTAAGGAGAATCAAAGAAAGAGGCATTCACAAAGTATGCAAAAAGAAAAATGTATTACAGTAAATAAGATACTTAAGTTGAGTATAATTGGTTTTAAGATAAATATAATCTGTTTAATCTTTGATAACGCTTGGTGTATGATGCAGAAAAAAGTTTTTGTATTAAATTTTCATTCAGTTTTTAAAATTTTAACTAAAATATTAATTTTTAAAAGAATAAACTATAATAATAACATAATAATAATAATCGTAATAAGAATAACAATAGTAATAATAACAATAATAATAACAACAACAATAGTAATAACAATTATAATAACAATAATGATGAGTTTTAATATGTTAGTCACAAAATATCTGTATTGATTCAAATAATCACTTAGAAAATAGGTAGTCCACCCTTTTTGAAATTTTTCAGCATCTATCTGTTTTTAAAATCCAGGAATTTTTAAAATGCTTTAACTAAAACTGACTTGTATTTTTGAGACATAAAAATGGCCAGTTTTTGCTTGAAAATTAGATCATTTATTCTTGTGACATATAAACGAAGTATAGATTTATTATTATTTAATCAAGCTTAATTGTCTTTTTTACATTCATTATTTAATTTACTTAATTTACATTTGAGTTTAATGTTTGATTTCATTTAATTATACGATTTCAATTCATTTATCATGTAATTAAATTTGTTTTTTAATTGATTTAAACTTATTTATTATTAGGCTATGTTAAATTAGCAGTTATTATTTTACTATGTTTTATCAGTTTATTTATTATATTTATAATTAATTAAGTATTATCAATATTTATTATTTAACCATGTTTATTTATAATTTGACTATGTTATATCAGTATATATTATATCAGTAACATTTAGGCAGTGAAATGCTAAGTAAATATGAAAGTTACGCAAATTCACACATTTACAAATTACAAAGCAAATCCGATAGATATTTGAGATTTTTTCACTTTAGTTGAAAAAAAATCGTTTAGTAAAATTTCCAAAAAACAAATTACAAAGATTTACCGACAAATTTTTGAATTAAAATAAAAGATCGAAAGGGTTTGTTTAATTTTTGATTCTGTGTAGCTTACGTTTGTCTAATTAATGATTATGTGTCATTTAGATTTTTTTAGTTATTGACTTTGTGTCATTTTGTGTTTAACTTTCATTCTGTGTCATTTAAGTTTGTTTAATTTTCAACTTAATGTTTTGACGTTACCATTAGGGATTCTCCCCGGGATTTCTTTCCCGGGAATTTCCCGGGAAAAATAATAATTTAAATTCCCGCAGTCAATTTTTTCCGGGATCACGGGATTTTCGAACATACATTTTCTAACTTTCCCGCCAAAATCTAAAGTGTTTTGTTTCCCGTACCATAAGAAATAATGCTTATTTATAGTTTTTACGTATTGAAATTTATGACAGCAAATTAGACATTAAAAAAAAAAACCTTCAAATCCAAAAACTTCTAAAGTTTGGAGTTATTTTGATTCTAAAAATTCAAACGAGGCACAATGTAAATTTGTCCAAAGGTATTATTATGCAAAGGTAGTTCGACTGTTGGATAAAATACACAACATAATTTTAAATAAAGAAGACGAAACATCAAATAAAAACGTTGTGTTCAACTAACAATCGATTCTATGACAAAAAAAGTTTCATTAGGTGAGCGATTGGCTCGTTTTGCTGCTACTGGTGGGTTTTTAAATTCAAAAATAGTTAAAAAAAATATAGAGAAAAATAGAAAAGTGTTGTGTTATTTGATTTTCCTTATAAAAAAAGTTATCCCGGGACTTTCCCGGGATCCCGGGAACACTTAATTTATTTCCCACTATCCCCGGAACGGAAAAAGTCCGGGAAACCGCACCATGAATACAAGTTACAATTATTTACAAACTTTATTAACAGGTGACAACTAAAAAACGAGGCTGGATTTAAAGACACATATCTCTTTATAGAAATAAGATATAACAAAAAGGAAAATGTTCTAGAAAGTATTTTTATTCTAATTTTTAAATATATAATCAGTTTTTTTCAATTAAACCATTTCTTATGACTTTATCAACTAGGCCTGGTATAGACTGAGCTAGTCTCTGTATGAGCTCAATATCAATTTTATTAAGGCAATACTTGATCCTAGAACGTAATTTTTTAAGATTTTCTGCATGCCAATTATTCTTGTAGACAAGGCCTTTCGAAATATTCCAAAAATTTTAGTTAGGGCGACATTCTGGCAAGTTTCCAGGATTATCTGCTTTCTCAACATAATGCACAATTTCCTTGTTTAGGTACATGATTTCTGTTTTTGCATAGTGAGATGATGCTAAATCTGGCCAGAATACATACGCACCATCTGAATGATTCTTATTGATGAATGGAATACATTCTTAATACATTTGTTTCAATAGATTTTTTTGATTTACAGCCAGTCCACTTGGTACAAAACAAGGTTGAGAAATTCCATAGAAGTAATTTCTTTTGAAACTTTTGTTTTGTTTGGTATTTAATTGTAGGAGGAGAAAATATTTAAATTACTAGTATAAAATATATCATTTCCATTGATACTGGAGTGATTTAACGTGAAATAAAACGTCATCGTCAATGATTGGTTTACGATTTTTGAATTTCTGACACAATCGACTGCACTTAGTTCTAGCTACTGCTTTTTGCTGGTCAGAACGTTTTGGAATAGTCATTTTTTTTCTTGATTTAATATTTGTTCTTTTTTTTAATGTTTTATTAATGTGTTGCTGAGTACAGGTGAATTTTTTAGCTGCCTGTTGTTGAGAAACTCTGTCTTTATGGTCAAACATCAATTTGAGCCTTTCAATATTTGTCCTGGTCATTTTTTTAGCTTTTACTCCACTTCCTTGAACTCATTGGTACCCAGATTCACTTTCAGCACGTTTAATTATCTTGTAGATAGTACTTTTAGATATATTCTCAACTTTAAAGTGGTCATAAGTGAACATTTTACCAGCAATTTTGTAATTTAAATAAAATTCATACACCCATTTTCAATCTCTTTTTGTTTTGAATTTATTTTTTTTATTCATTTTTCTATAAAAAAATAAAAACACATAAAATATTTAAAAACTAGAATAAAAGTACCTTCTAAAACAGTTTTCCTATTTTTAAAATCTTATTTCTTTAAGGAGATATGTGTCTTTAAAACAGTTTTCCTATTTTTAAAATCTTATTTCTTTAAGAAGATATGTGTCTTTAAATCCAGTCTTGTTTTTTAGTTGTCCGTTACTTGCTGTATTATTATTATTACATGCTGTATTATTATTACTTGTTGTTCACATTCTGTCAACACTGATTTTGTTGTGAATCTATTGTAAGAACAGATAGATTTGTCTCAAAAAATAAACGAACAATTTAAATATTATGTCATTTTGTAAAATATATAAAAATCAAATTAAAAAAATATTGCAAAGTTTTAAATTTCAAAAAAATAAAACAAAATTTTTAAAAAAGTCAAAACTAATAAATGAATAGTGTAAAAGAAACATGAGTAAGATAAGATAAAGGAAACATGAATAGTAAGATAAGATAAAAATATTTTTTAAATTCAAAACTATTTTATGGATTTTTTTTTTTTATAATAATTGAAATAAATAATTAACAGACTTTAAGAAAAAATGTTTTGAGCTTTTTGTTCTAATTGCCTGTTTTACGAATGGGGAAATTTCCCCATTCTTTCTTCTGAAAATGCTCCTGATGTATACAAAATTTTATAACATAAATTGTATAAAATTTTAAACTACTTTGTAACTAATTTAAACTTTTTTAATTTTAGGTAAAAGAAGTCTTGATAAAAACCTAACAAAAAGAACAACAGTACCAAACCAAAAGTTTATGTATATACCACTCTACGTTGTAAAAAACTTATTAGTGCATGCAAAAGTGGCTTCTAGGCCTGAGAGCGATGTAAATAACCGTTTAGAGAAAAAAACTAATACAAAATTGACTGATGGCATGCCATTTTATATTGAAACAAAACAAGGAAAAAGATATTTAGTAATCAATCCAAATAGCCAATTAGTTAAAAATTCAAATAAATTTTTAATAAATTTAGCAGGTACAAAAAAAAATATTTTGTCTACAACTAATAATAAAAATAATTTTCAGAATAATTTTATAAATCCAATTAATATGGTTAGTAACCAACTTAGTTCTCTCAATAGTAACTTACTTCCGTTTAAACACGCGTTTAATTATCCATTTTACAGCTCATCAACTCAAAATGAGTTATTTCAGTCTCAACCAGAGTTACAACATCAAATTCAATTAAAAAGTCCTTTAAATTCAAATGTAGGTTTTCTTACTGAGCAAACAGAAATGCAGGGAATGTCAAAACAACCAAATAGTATTGCAGATCAACGACCCTTGGTAATTAATGGTTTTAATGTTCTTCAAGGAGAAATAAACCAAGAAGGATTGTATAAAGGTTACGTAGCTATTCCTTTTAGTGCACAATTAAGTAAGGAACAAAATGCTTTTACAGATTTTCGGTTTGAAAAGTCACCATCTTTAGATTATTCGCACGAATTATCAGAAGGTTTAAATAGCTTTGATACTTTTGAAAAAATTACTGCAAAGCAACCCACAGTTCCAGGGTATTACTATAAAGATCCTGTATATGATCCTCTTACAAGTGAAACCATTTTTCAAGACGAGTCTAATCTACCAGATCCTCGAATTTTTAATGTAATAAAGCCTAAAGCAGAAAAGCAAGAACTCATAAAAAGTTTGCGATTTGCAAAAATTATTAACCAATATAATGCACAACCTTCTGCTGATAAAGGAGATAGCACATTAGGTTATTTTTTAAATCAACAACGTATACACAATTCTGGTAATAAAAATAAGTATCAAAATGAAAACATAAAAAATTCTCCTTACTTATATAAAAAAGAGCATATTGGATATCAACCACTCTCATTTGAATCAAACTCTGAGAAAGTGCCATTAAATGAAGCAATAAACGACGATAACAAAAAATAATTTTTCTATAGTTATTTATTTGATTATTTTGCTAACATTTTGTATCTATATACATTTTATGCATAAAAAATTGGTGATTTGAATAACTGAGTCAAAAAGTAGGGAATAGAACAATAAAAATATACAATTACATTGCTATAAAACAGAAGAATTCTAAAACATATATAAAGAGCAAGTTTTATTGTATCTTATAGCTGACAAATATGTTTGCGTTCTTTTTGTTCCATTTTCTCTAACATTGAGTTAAGTTTTATTAAAATTCGAAAAAATTGTTTAATGGGCTTTGCTCGAAGTAATTTTTGGAGTGCGCAAAGTTTATATTAAAAATTCTGTCTATTAAATTATAGGTTGTTGAAGTTAGCAATTGAAGTTAGCAATGAAGATTATAGGTTGTTGAAGTTAGCAAAAATGTTCAGAATAGTTTGATCCATGCAAAAGATTATTAAATTAATTTTAAGTTTAAATGTGCGAAATCAGTTAAAGGTGGAAAATCGGCTAGCGACTAGCTAGCGATATTCGTAACAATAAAGACAGCGATATTATTACGAGGATCGCTAGCTAGATAAGCTAATAAAAGTTTTCATTACATTTTTGTATTTCTTGTTTATATTATGCTACATTACTAATATTATTACGTATTTACATATTATAAACTTATTTACTTTGTAGATTCGGCTTCAGACCATAAATTAAAGATTTAATAAATAATTAGTAAATATTTAGGTTTGTTTTTAGAATAATAACTTTTTTTTTCTATAGCATTGTTGGTTTTTAAAATGAGTTTTGAACAAACTAAGCAGACAATTGTTTTAAGTAAAAAAATAATTTATTGTTTGGTGTTGGGTAAAGAGGAGCAAAACTCAATAAAATTAGCTGATACTACCATATGTAGTAAATATCACAGCAACACTAGCATTCGCTCTATTGATTGACTACAGGATGTTTTTACGATAGCTAGCTGCTTATCAGCAGGACGTAAACAAAAACGTTAAAATGACATCAGCACGATGTCCGCAATTGATCGGCTGCAAATTTAATTTTAATGTATTTTTGAGTTTATGTTTTATAAAGCTTAAAAAAAATTCCGATTTTTTATAAAATAAACCATATTAGATAGAATAAAACCAAATATAGTTTTAGATTCTTTATAAATGCAAATAAAAACCTCTGTAAACTTATTAAATAAGTTATAACATGGTTTTTGTGGTTCTTACTCTGGCTTTAGTTACAGTCTCTCCTACGGTTCATGACATCCTCATAAATAGAAAGGCTTATAAATTCTCCTAAAAGTATATTTTACGGTTATAATTTATTCTACGTTAAAGTTTTAGACTTTGTTACTATTATTGTAAACCTGGTATTTTTTCAATAGATAAAGTTTAGGAACTTTAAAAGTCTTTTTTCAATAGATAAAGTTTAGGAACTTTAAAAGTCTTTTTTCAATAGATAAAGTTTAGAACTTTAGTTTAGCTCTCAATTCTTTTTACTCAATTGTTTTATTGTCGAAGAATGCTTATGTTTTATCATAATGAGGAGATAATTGGTCAGGTTCAATTTTTAATGATCTCTAGTTAAATTATCTAAACAAGTATATTTGACTCAAACAAGCTTTAATATTTTCTCTGAAGGTAATACAAAATTGATTAAAGTTTATTTGACAAAAGGTTTATTTAAAAAGTTATTATTTCTCAATATATATTTACTGATTGATTTAAAAGTTAAAAAGATATTTGAAAACGGCTAGGGATAAATTATTTATCCATATATATAGGGAAAGGCGGCTCGAGTTCGTCATGTTTTACTTCAACAAAATGAATTTGCATATAAATAAGTTTTTGTTAATGTATTGAATCAAAATAAATTCTAAAGTTACTTTAGCGTAGAACTTGATTTTTTCATCATCAAAAATGAAATAAGTCATGAGGGGCAAATTCGTCAATTACGGGGTGAATTCGTCAGTACAACTAAACTTATTGAAAAATAATATCACTTGGGCGATAGACAAAATTCCTTACTAGCGGTAAAGGCAGTTTACCTATGAGAAAAAAAACTTCGACATATAAAATTATTGAGGTAACAGTAGGATGAGATAATCTAACCTAATCTAGAATAGTAAATCTAGAAGTTCCGAGTTTCTCTGCGCAGCGGCCTTGTTGGCCAAGGTTTGTGTTTTGGAGTTTTAGAGTTGAGAGAGGGTTGTATCAACTAAAGTAGCCTCTTTGACTGTAGTGGCCTTTATGACCTCGAGGAGGTGAATTGAAATAAATAAAAATGTAATACGACATCAACTGTTAAACTTTTTCTAGAAAGTATCAAATAATGATTTTGGCATAAATGAAAACCGTGTAACCGCGCAAGCGCAAGAAATATCATCATTTTCAGCTAAGTATTTAGACAAGGCTTCAGACCACATATGTTTAACTACTTTATTAGTAGCAGTTTAACATGTGTGCCAAGTGGTTGAAGGCGATGTGTACTATAAGGTGAAATAAATATTATTTTAATATCCATCTCTACTGCTAATTCAATTGCTTCAATAGTCACATGACTTTTGTGGCCACCCAAAAATAACAATACTTTTTTTCCATTCATTTTTGTACGAAACTTATTAAAATGGTGTAAAAAAGCAATAAAAATCTCTTGATCAATATTCCGCTTTTACTTTTGTACCCTAAGGAAATTTAGATGCATCTGGAATCTTTGTTCCCTTAAATATGAAAAATGGTGGTAAGCTGACTCCTACTGCATTGACAGTGGCCAGGTATGTTGTTATTGTACTACGTTCACCAATAGTTAAATTTTGTACCTCACGAGAACCCTTTAGTAATAGTAATAGTAATTTTTTTTTTTTTTGCTTTCATTTAATTACAGTTTACGTTTATGACAAATGTACCTAAAAAGTCAATACTTGTAGCTGCTAAAGCACAAATTAATTAAATTAAACGTGCAGCTCATCTTCAGTAAAAGATGCACTGTTTGCAGCTGTAGGAAAAAAAATACTTGTCAATTCTACTTTTGAATGCGTTATTTGACGGAGCCTTTTTGCATGACAACGGTAAATAATTCCAATCATTCACTATACGATTTGTGAAGAAATTATGTCGAGCATTATTGTAAGTGAAATCACGCGTTAGTACGTTGGATGGTGATCTGCAAAGAGGTGGATTATGCCAATTAATAATTTCAAAACCGTTTTCAAGTTTAAACTGTTGGATCCAGTCGCCGCGTCGCCTGCAAGTTTCCAAAGAAGTAAAATTGAGACGCCGACACCTTTCAGCATAAGGTAAACTTGTTATATCATGAGGAATTTTTGTTGCTTTGTGCTGAATTTTTTCAATTTCTTTGATGTCGCCCTTTAAGTAAGGACACCATACCGGAACAGCAAATTCCAGATGCGGCCTAACATATGTAGTATATAGTTTACCCCAAAGCTTAATATCTCTTGATCTAAATGTTTTTTTTAGTAGGCCAACTATCATATTTGCTCTACATGTTGCAACCTGTATGTGTTGATTCCATTTTAGATCGTTAGATAAAAAGATACCCAGGTCTCTTTCAATATCCGTTGCCGCTATAATAAGAGATGTATTACCATCATTCGTTACATATTCATGATTTATATTTCCATGACCAAGGTGCATAACTTTACACTTTGCAACATTTAATTCCATAAGCTATTCTTTTGACCACTCTGAGATAATGTTTAAATCATTTTAAAGAATCAGACAATCAGCATCGTGAAACTCAGGTCTTATTTCTTCCAAACAGTTTTGTGTCATCAGCATAAATTTTATGAACTGATTTTAAATTATCCGTTAAGCCATTTATGTAGATGATGAATAATGTTGGACCAAGTACAGACCCTTGTGGAACTCCGCTTAAAATAGGCATTTAAACAGAAAAATATTTTTTCACCTTCAATGTTTAGAAAACTTGCAATATTTAGAGAATGATTGCAATATTTAGAGAATGAAGGTAAATATATAAAACATTTATTTAATTATATTCTACAAATATCAGTTGAAAAAGTTTCGAAAAAATCTAGTAATATTTAATGAATGATCGAAGGTAAATATATAAAACATTTATTTAATTATATTCTACAAATATCAGTTGAAAAGGTTTTGAAAAAATCTAGTAAGTAGACATCTTAGTTTTTTTGCATTATTATTTTAAAGCTGAGTCGCATAAGTGACGGATTCGCTCCGTAACGAATTCATCCCACCTTACCCTATACAAAGCATAAAATATTAAATACATTTATCTGGTATATTAAGAATTCTCATTTCAATAAAATAATGCTTCGAATGAGAGAAGCGATTTGCAAAATTGATACGGGTTGCGCGTTTCTGACGTAGATAAAAACTTATTTTTTTCTGTACTTCGCCAAGCAATATTAATATGATTTAAATAACTATGTATAAATAAATAATAAAGTTGGATTAGACTTTCATATTGAGGTAGTTTCGTGGTTTATATAAGATCACCATGTTTTTAGAAATTTTTGTGCTGATTCCAAATAATGTTTTCATCAAGATAAACGCCTGAAAATTCTGTAACAAAATCACTTTTTATTTCCTTTTGATCGATAAAGATTTGATATAATTTTGATGGCAGAAATCGCTTTTTTGCAATCGAATTGAATAAAAACCATTTTTTTTAATTAATATTCAAGCATAACTTATTACTCTTGAACCAATTAGATACATGTCTGAGTTCTTCTTTCACTGTTTTAAAAAGTTTAGCGATATCATAGTTAGAAAGGAATAAGTTTGTATCATCTGTATACATAATGCTTGTTAGTTTTGAGGCCTTATTCAAGTCATTTATACAAATGAGCAACGGTGGCGCAGTGGTAGCGCACTTGCCTCAGAAACAAAGGATCCGTGGTTCAAACCCCACCTCTGGGCAAGTTTTAGGGCATTGGTTAGGAAGGAGGCGTGAAATTTTTGTTAAATGCTCATCCGCGGTGCTCTGTGACCGTAAGGACTTCTTAGCCACCTAAAAAATAAAAAAAGGACAGGTCCAAGGTCTCACCTTGTAGGATTCTACAGGTTGTATTAAGAAAAGTGGTTTGATAATCATTGTCAAATAGTACAAATTGTTTTTGGTTATATAGATATTTTTAAACCATTTTAAATTTTTATTTTTTATTCCGTAGTATTTGAGTTTATAAATTAAAATATGCACGGCATTAATTTTGTTCAAAAATCTCCCGATTGCCAG